GAAAAAAAAGCTGGCTTAACGCAATGGAGAATTAAAAAAAAATGTTTTGGTTCAGAAAGGATGTATCCTAAGTGCTGCATCAAGGCACAGTATAAGAAAAGTAAGGACCGTCCTGACCTGTAAATCACTCAAAGCTACCCTGGTAGAATAAAAATATAGAGCTCCATAACATAAGCCACGGCAGTGATGCAGGCAAAAACTAACTGATTCAAGTTAAAATTGCAGATAGCAGATACAGAGAGCTGTTCACCAGGGAGACAGCTGTTTACCCCATACTAAGGTAATGTTTTCAATGACACAAACATGTCTTTTTCTGTCCTTTCAGTTTTTTGTCTAAGCTAAGACTGGATATCCCCCGATGATCTCATTAGGATTTTTTTCTGAGATGTGGGAAACCACCTGCAAAGTCACATTGTCTGATTTTAATATGACACAGAAAAATTAAAATCACAGCCCAGTGTCACTCTGAATGGTAAAAAAACAAAAACAAAACAAAAACCTTTTGTTCTAACAATCTCATACTTGCTTCTACACCAAAGTTAGTACTCTGATCCAATTCGTCACTTACTCGCTCTGACAGGAAGTTCCAAACTAATCGCTGACACCTGCTTCACAAGTCCTCCACAAGACACTTTGATTTCTCAGACCGAAACCACTGACACATCCCACATTCTTCTAGAAGACAGATCATTATAATATACATCCTCATGTGTCAGTCCCAGGAGCAAAAGAGAGAAACATAGAGTGGGTGTGCACACACATACACCTCCCACAATCGTGGCACAATGCAGAGACTGATCGATATGTGCACTGCTATACGGGCCTACAGGCATGGAGTGGGAGCTGTCGGGGTAATTAATGTCGCTCTCTCAGGGTGTATCGTTCCCACAGCCAGCAGCCCAGATCTGAATGTGGGTCAAAACGCACACATGCAGATTCGCAAATACACATAATTGAACAGCTAGTTGTTCCAGATGAAGGACACTGGAATTGAATGCAGGTCAAACGGGAAATAGAAAAGAGCCTAAAAGCATCACAGGCATTTCCCTGCAAAGATGGGTGAGAAGCGCTCAATACTGCAGAGCTATTTCCCTTTCAACAATGCAAACTGTCTTTCTAATTTCATAATCAGAAATTTTAAACTTTCATATAGGCAGAGCTCTAATATTATTGAATGGTGATAATAACTGAAATGATTTATGCTGGATTTCTAGTTGTGTAATTGCTTGTTTTTTATGCTTTTGTATTCGATTTGGGAGAAGAAAAAAAAAGGCGAAACTCTAGGACAATAGTGTACCTAAGATCAGGTCACTGTTTTCAGGGTAACAGCAGGGCAGTGTGTTCCTGGTGCATTAGATTAAAATACCCTTGAGCTTGTGTCTGCTTAAACACAGTCAGTCCATAATACTTATTTTCAAGGGCATGTCTCTTATCTTCCACTTTCAGCAACGTGTCTCAACCGTATTCAAATAACTTGACAGGAACAACCATAGTTTGGTAAAAGTCAGGAGTTCTTTGGAGGTTATTTTAAGGGATTTAACTCAGTTTCATAATGTTTGTATTCCAACTTTGCTCCACAGTGCTTTCACATCAGCAAAAACGTGGCACAAGCTGAAGTAAAGGCGCTGACTGTAGCAGAGAAGCCATTTCTTTCACACTTATATGAAGTCAAAGGCCGGTTGATGGTAAATGCACCTCTACTCCTTTAAAGGGAAGCCTCATTGTATAGCTACAGTGTATTGTGAGCAGGTTTGGGGTGACATGAATATGTTGTGAACAGGTCTTGCATTATACCTGCAATGATCCATACTGTTTTCATTGGGATTTAGGGCGATTTCGAGGATGCATTATTTCATCCTTTAATCTACAGTTCGCTTTCTATCGCTGGTGACATTCTGGCTGCCGATGCCTGAGCCACGTTATGTAAACAAACATACCGTGAAATAAGATATTGTTTGAGGCGCAAAAACAACACGTATAACCGTGCTGGATAAAGGCGCTGGGTAAACAGTAATATATGAATTACAGTAAGAGTCTGGCTGTATTATTCTCCAGCTGCCGTTTCCTCTGTTTTGCCATTTCCAATGGCCACCATTCAGACTTCGTCTTTTGTCGCCGGGCGAAGCCTAGCCTCCTGCTTGTTCATTAAGCGTTACCTGAAAGTGACCCATCAACGAATTTACCTGAAAATGGTGATTTCCGTCGTTTTCAAGCCGACCCTCCGGAGCTGCCAGGCCCGGATGCCCTCCTCCGCTTTACCCGCCCACTGAAGTAGCCTGAAACACAGCTCCGTCTGTGCTCGGTTTGTGCTCCACACGCTCCGCCAGAGAAAGAAATATCCTCCGAAACAAGCAGAAAGGTGTGCGAGTGTGCGGGCGAACAGACACAGACCGAAACCCGAAAAAGTCGTCTGTTTCGGCAGCGGAGACAGTTTAAAGAGGCTGGAGGATGTCGAGTGCGGAGACGGGAGGGGTGCGAGCATGTAAGGTAGATTACGATAATGGCACTTCCGCTGACATTTCAAAACAAAGGTCTGTTCTATTGCAATTTCCAAAATAAAAGCCACTGTGACGTCTATCTGGTCAGTGTGCAAACTAAAAGCTGGTTTTTTTTGTACAGACATCTTCCACATCATAGACTTGAAAAACGTAAAGAAAAACGTCTAGATAGACGCATACACCAAAAACTATACATACATACATACTGCATATTATACATTCTAAGTGCTATTTTGTGTGCCTTTTTGTTTGTTAGCTCGTAGGTAAAACTAGAAGTTAAGTACAGTATAGTTTGTCAAAGTTGGGAAATAGATAAAATAAGAAACAGCTGCAGGTTTTGTTAGCATACCGTTCCTTTTCATTTGTAACTCATCACTATAACAATGCAACACTGTCCATTTCAGTCTTTAAATGAGTAGATCGATTATTTCATCGATTCAACTTCTATTACAAAATAGTCTGTGTTTGTTGAAGATGCCAAAAATGATGGAATGGTTAAATAGCGCTCAGGGTTTCAACAGCTTCGAAATTAGCATAGATTATAAAGCTGATGGGAATAATTATTGTTGTGTGGCGCCCCCTGCTGGATAACACTTTAATTACTAGTGATGCTGGAAATAATCCTTATGAAATCCCGTTGTTTGCAATAAATAACGTTCACTAACAGCTGAAAAGGTTTGCTAAAGGGATAAAAATGCTTGAACTCTACAGTAGAGTTTTCATTTTTCTTTACCCGTTTACACCATTAGCATTTTTGCGATATTCCTGCTATTTTTAAAGGATCCGTTCGTCTAGTCACAGGAGGGGAAATATAATTTCCCTTACAAATCATTGAAGTATTTTTGATTCTATTAAACTTGTTACGGCGTTGTGATAATGACTGGGCTGTGTTTTAACGGATCCATAAATGACTGTAGGTGTTTTGCATAACAGCACATTCACAGAGCGTGTCATCATGCTAGCCTTTGCCCCAGTCAGCGGAGGTACGTAAAGTACAACCCACTTCTCCACTACTTTTACAGAGGACACGAAGCACTGCTACTTGACAGAAAATGTCTCGTCCTCTGGAGAGACTCCGAGTCATTATCAACCATCTTGACAGACATCCTGCGGGGATTGTATCTTTTTTAATTCGTATTTGCGATAAATCGGCTCGTTGGAGGCTCTTAGCCTATAGCGAAGCAGTGAGCGCCCGATAACACTGATACTCCGCTACTGGGAACCCGCGGTGGACTGCAGGCCTCCCGGAGAATACTGACATAAGGACAGGACAGGAGCTGAATGCCTGTAACTATTCTTGCGCTGTTAACACCGCTAGTTATTTTCGTGTTCGCCGTTGTTTCTCTACAAGTGTGTTTGTTTGGACTGCATATCATTTGCAATAAAAGTTTTTAATGCTAGCTAGCTGGAGACATTTATAACTGTTACTTAGGGCTCGGAAACGACTGTTATTGGATTATTGTCTATATCAACCTGTTAAATAATAGGTGTAATCTGTTAGGTCTATCTGTAGATAGGTCAACTTAAAGATAAGCTAGTTACAAATTTATACATGTGATTTGTTTTTTTAAAAAGTGTTGTCGGTTTCCCTGGTTTTAATATGGAGCACCAATGCAGATTTTCACATAAAAGACATTTTCACATATTTTGGCAGAAAGGCAGAATGTTTCACTGTAAAATCTTGGAAATGATCTGAAATCTATAAATCATAATCTCTCGCTGCTGTATAGCAGACATTTCCGTGTTTTTGGTTTGTTTGGTTTTTTTGTTTTTTGTTTTTGTTATCCTTGACTGATTTGCTGAAGAGAGCTGCGCCCACGTCTGCTCAAACCGTCAGCTACGGTCACCCACAGAGACTGAGGTAAGGACTCACCTAAGCTCCGCGTCGGGCTAAAGGTTTTTATGCACTCAGCAATCATTCATGTTTATCGTTCACCTTTCCCACAGTTTCTTCTATTGATCAGGTCCACAGTGTCCCACTTTTCTGCTCTCCATGTGTAATAGCAAGTGGTGCCACAGTGCCATTGGCTCAAAAGGCAAGGCAAGCTTTTTTATTTTTATTTTATTATTTTTTTTTTTTTCAATTTGGCAGGTATACTTTGGATAATGACCTGCTGACCCCGGAACAGCGGCTCTTCTATGAGGAAAATGGCTTCCTTCTCATCAGAAATCTGGTGTCCAAGCAGGACATCGACAGGTTCAGGTAACATCAGACACTTGGCAATAAATAATAAATGAAATAAGTACTTTTTAAAAAGCACAAACACATAAAATAATTATTTTTACTTGAATAGGTTACAGTTCAAAATATTGATTATTTATTTTATGCCAGCCTTTGGCAGATCCCCCATCATTTCAATCAGTTTTAGCTTTCATCCCCTTTGAGCTAGCTTTCTTCTGATTGGCTGGCCCTTGTACAGAAGGTAGACAAGGATACCTGATCTTTCATAAGCAGGAAAACTAAATATTTACAGCGGTCCAAAGGCTGATCGTTTTATCTCTTGGAGATTATTCATACATGCACTGTACTCAGTATGTGAAAGTTTGGCCATAGGAAAATCTACCAATTTTACAGTGACTGTTTAAGGAACACTTTAATCAGAGTGTAGAATCAAGTCAGTTAAACTTATGGGATATTGATCTGGTCATTTAATTAGCAGAGGGGTTGTTATTCCATTTCAGCTGTTTTGGTGTTAATGAAATTAACAACAGGTGTACTAGAGGAGCAACAGTGAGACAACCCCCAAAACAGGCACAGTTTTACAGCTGGAGGACAGTGACATTTTACCTGCTCATCTGACTGTTTTTATTACACTAGTTTTGCATTTGGCTAGGGTCAGTGTCACTACTGGCAGCATGAGGGGAGACCCTACAGATCTTGCATAGGAAGTTTAACTCCTCCAAGATGGAACATCAATACATGCCATTGCCTGAAGTTTTGCAGTCCAGTACAGTCTCAAGATCATGGTAGAGATTTCAACAGACAGACAGTTACTCTAGGAGAGCTGGACAGGGCTGTAGAAGGTCCTTAACCCATCAACAGGACCAGTATCTGCTCATTGTCTGCAAGGAAAAACAGGTTGAGCACTCCCAGAGCCACAAAATGACCTCCAGCTGTTTACTGGTGTGAATGTCTCTGACTAAAGTATCAGAAATGTGACTTTATGAGGGCGGACCAATGTCCTCTAGTGGGCCCTGCACTCACTGCTCACTGCTTGGCATTTGTCATAAGATACCAGAATTGTCAGGTCCACCACTGGCACCCTTTTTTTTCACAGAGGAGAGCAGGTTCACTCTGAGCACATGTGACAGATGTGAAAGGCTCTGGCGAATCCGTGAAGAACATTACGCTGCCTGTAACATTGTTTAGCATGACCGGTTTGGTGGTGAGTCAGTAATAGTCTTTGGAGGCAAATCCATGAAGGGACACAGACCTACAGGCTTGGCAACAGCATCCTTGAAATCCTTGGACTCAGTCTCAGACCCTACATTGGTGCAGCAAGTCCTGGGTTTGTCCTGGTGAAAGACAGTGCACAGCTTCATGTGGTGAGAGTGCACAGTCAGTTCCTGGAGGATGTAGTAGTTGATGCCATTGACTGACCCCCATACTCACCTTACCTAAACCCAATAGAACATCTGTGAGACATGTTTCCGTCCTGACTGTTGTGTGTGTGTGTTTTGGTGCCTCCTTCAGGAGGGAGTTTGAACGGATCTGTCGACAGGAAATAAAGGTTCCCGGTCTGGTGGTGATGAGGGACGTGGCTATAGCAAAGTCCGAGTTTGTCCCAGATCAGAGAGCTGTCTCAAAAGTGCAGGACTTTCAGGAGGATCCTGAGCTGTTCCGGTACTGCTCTCTACCAAAGGTACTGGAACGCCACATACAAACAAAGACAATACACACAGCAGTAGGGCTTTTCGTAGGGCTGGGCCATATTATACCCTTTACAGTAATACCGGTACAATGTTATGCAACAATAAGAAAATAAAATATTGCAATAGAATATGGGTAAAACGCGCATGCGCAGTGCCTTTGTTTTCATATGCACATGGCCGAAAAAGCATGGCGGCAACGGAGAATGAGGCATCCATGAAAGCAGAATTTATTGAATTTAACAGAGTTAGAATTTAGCGGAAGTTAGCTCGCTAGTTTCGCTAGTTACCTAAACATGATATAGCATGTTCTGACTGAGAGATTTCTGAAAAAATTAAAACGTACAGCTCTGCTATCACTTCCAACATAAATGAAGACAGAAAACTAAATAGCAGTGACATTTGTAGTGACACAGCTATGTTAGCATAACATAACCACTGAAACTGGAGGATGGACGCTAAGTTTTTTTCCACTCGATAAAAGTTAACGTGAAGGTTCCTGATGGTTAGGGACAAATGCAATCGCATGGCAGGATGCTCTAAATCAGGGGTGGGCAATTCCAGGCCCCGAGGGCTGGTGTCCTGCAGGTTTTAGATCTCACCTTGGATCAACACACCTGAATCAGATGATTAGTTCATTACCAGGCCTCTGGAGAACTTCAGGACATGTTGAGGAGCTAATTTAGCCATTTAAATCAGCTGTGTTGGTTCAAGGACACATCTAAAACCTGCAGGGACACCGGCCCTCGGGACCTGGAATTGCCCACCCCTGCTCTAAATAGACCAAACTTCAGTCAGGAAAACAACTGAGATAATCCATCCACAATACGAGGTTAGTCATTAATATACTGCAACAACATGGGAATAGAGCAGCTGCCAGAGAGTTCAATGAATCAATGGTACAGAAGTGGGGGAAGCAAGAAGTTGGATAAATCTGACTGTTTTGTCAAAGGATGGTTGTTTTTTCTGTGTTAATTGCCAAATTAATTCTGATAAAAAGGGTTTGGTGCCTCACAGATGTGCTATCAGTAATCACACAGGTGATAAAGCAGAAAACATTACATGAACTTCAATCATTAATCTGGATGTCTAAATGTTTTTCACAAACAAACAAATGAATAGGCATTGAATT